ACTTTATAGGCACTCTCTAATTTATCTTCACAAAAATACTATGAGGTAACTGGTTTTGAAATCCAATGGAGTAATCTGAATAAAGTAAGGAAATGATTACCAGCATTTTAAGAGATGAAATCTGAGGCTTTGGGAGGTTGCATAACTAGCTCAAGGTCACACAATAAAAAGTGAAGAGATGGAGCCTAGAGCCCAGGTCAGGTTGTGGCAGAACCACTGAACAATTCATGATATTTATGAATTCATAATAGGATTGCTGTAACCTCCTAGATTATGATTCTAACATCTGTAATAAGAGAGTCTGAGAAAAATACAGGGGCAATCACTTGAATTGGAAAATTTAAGAAACTCATGTTTAACTAAGATTGGGACTGACAAGGAGAATATCACTGAACAGTTGAAAGAAAAGGACTCATAGTAGATGTCAAAAATTAGGCAGGCTTTGAAAAAATAAATTCTATCACTCAGGTACTACCATGAGAAAGAAATAAAATGATACATTGCAAATGTATATTTTGTAATAGATGGTTTCAAGTCCATTCTAGAGAAGGAGGAGTTATAAATTAAATTAATAACTAAAATGATTACCCTTTGTATTTACTCCAAGGGAAGTATGTATTGAATTGGATAAGAGTCATAATTGGACTAGAAAAGTATATACTTGTCACATAATTCTAACAGAATAATATAATGCAAATCACTTTAAAAACTTAATTATGTTTGATGACAATAAATATGGGAGCTTCTAACTTATTAAATTTATGCCTATATTTTTAGGATCCCTGTACATACAAGTTCAAGTTAAAATGAAACCTTTTACCGGTCATGATCATGTAGTAATATAATATTCAGTGATTTTTTCTTAAATAAATGACATGAAAGGTAAACCTTTGACATTTAACTTCTTAATTTTTTTTAATAAATCACAGACTTAAAATTAAAATTTTTATTATGAAAAATAATCTCATGCAGAAGAGGTCTATATAAAGTAGGTTTATTAAATGCAATGTTAATAATATTTTTCTTTCTGTTTATGGGTTTACCATAAATTCATTAAAAAAAAACTCCACAGATTTAAAAATGTGGTTACTTTTTCCTGACATTCAAATAACTCTAATTGGAAAACTTTAATGAAGAAATTTTTAAAATCACCCATGCTAGAGGAAGTGGTCCATTGAGGTCCTGGACTTGGGGTATATATTTGTATCTGGCAAGTGGAAATCTCTCTCTCTCTGCTTCCTTGATCACCATGTGGGCCACTTCCCTCTGCCACACTCTTCCACCATGATTTCCTGCCTCACCTTGAGCCCTAAGGAATGGAGCTTGCTCTCTATGGATTGAGACCTCTGAAACCACAAGCCCCCAAATAAATTTTCCCTCCTTTAAAATCATTCTGGTCAGGTCCTTCCATCATAGCAGTGATAAAACTGACTAAAACAACTGGATTACAGTCCATTCTTCCTTCTGCCCAGTTCTCTTTTCTTTACCTACTTAGAGATGCTGCTCCTTCCATTCTGTTGTAAAACTCTCTCCAAATAGACTTTCAACCCTTTCCTCCACTGTGGAAACTTTACAGACATAGCATCTGTATAGTCAACCAACCCAGAAGCATTGAGTATGTAATACATGGACAGTAAAATTGATCTGATGCAGGGAAATGTTATGTATAAATCATTTAATTGAATCAAATCTACTTTATCCAATTAGTCAATATCAAATGATCTGATCAATCTGCTTTTCTTTTCTGTTTTTTTTTTCAGAATGAAAACAGTACTAACTTATTTGTGTTTAAGTTACTGCATATGTAGGTAAAAGTTTACATGTTAATTTTTATGTAGTACTAAACAATTTCTGCCTTTTTCTTTCACAGTTGACAAAATTATTGTAATAATTTGGAACAAATGAATATTAATTTTAATAAAAATATAATAATTAAAAAAATCACCCATGATCCCTCAACGTATTCACAAATATAGGAAAATGCACTAATTTAATTTCATAAACTAATGTTTCAAGTTACAAATTAGTCCAGGCTATAAAATTTGAATCCTTATACAAGACTGCCGTTTAGTGGTCAAAATTAAGAATAGCAAGCTAAAATCAGGATATTTAGTTTTTGAATAGCTTATTTTTCAAATTGGAAACTGAAAACAAGCTCATGAAAAAAATTAAAAATTGGATCTCTTCATTTTCTTTGTTAGTTATAATTTCCAATATTAATTGTCAACAATTAGAATTATTAAAACAAAGATAATGGCATCAGTTTTGATAATATTGAAAGTTTCCAAACATTTCCATTCAAATTTTAAACTCAGAGTATCTTTAATTTATTTTGAATTTGTATCTTTGTTTAATCCAGTGTTTTATTCATGCTAGGGCCTTTACTATGCCTGCTTGTGGTAGGGGCTCAGCATATATTTTTAAACAAAAAATGCTATTTAAGTAATAAAATCTTGCCAGAATTAACTGAAACAAATTATTATTTAAGAAACTCATGGCATTTTGTCTATGGCAATTTTAAACGATAGACAAGTGGCATCAACCACGTTTCTTTCTTTATTCTTGCTGTCCCTAACTCCTGTTTTCCTGTTAAGTTTTGCCCTCTAAGCTTTAGGCAGGAAGAGCAGCTCCCGAGTATTAATAAGCTCAGAAACAATCACTAGGCATTAAGACCCTCTTTCAAAAGGTAAGTCAAACATTTCTGATGCTTTTACTTAAATTTCATTGAGCTGTGAAGTCTGACTTTGATGTTGGCTTTAAAAAAGAAGGAAAGGACCAAAGAAAACTTATCTTTTGTAGGTTCAAAAGACAGAATTAAGTTTAACAATGTATGTTCTTATCTGAGATTTTTTTTCTTAATTTAGAAAATTGAATCCACCTGTACATCTATAAAGTGATAAAACTGTTCCTTGGACATTCTTATTCAATCACATTGCCTATTTCGCCCCTTCTCTAGTGTTCTGTTCCGGGTGCATCATTATCTGATAAAGAACTCAAAGCTGAGCGGATGAATACTGAGATGGGGCTTCTGAGATGGGTCCTGCCGTGGAACTATGCCCTGGACTCACCAAGAAGCCTAAGTGAACTCTGTGGCCATGGTCAGCAGAAGAAGCAACTGCAGTAAAGGACAACTAACAAACCTCCATATTCTTAGGGTCTGTTTCCCACTTATTATTCATTTTAAGTTTGTATTCTATTATTTTCTTATTTTTTTCTCTTTTTAGTGCACTGCACTCTTTTTTCCCACTCCTCCTTCATTCTTTCCTTCCTCCTTTTTTTTCTTCTTCCTCTCCTCTCCTCACCTGTCCTACCCTATCCTCTTCTCTCTAGCACTTCATGACTATTTATATCAACAAGCAGCAATGTAACTATATTTTAAAAGAACATAGGTTCTAAATAAGAAATTTCAGCTTAATTAGGGCAACTTAAGTCCCCAAGTCTATTTAAATAGCCTTCACTGAAGCTACTAAGCGATTACTTTAAAATTTATAACACAAAAGAAGTAAGCAAATTCAAAAGTCTACTTTTTTAAAAGCAAGATCTCTAGTTTTCTCTATTCCTTAAGGTAAGTAAAATAATGAGTAGCATTTATCTTTCTTGGAAAATAAAACTCACGATTTTTTGTTTATTTCTTTAGTGCTGGGGATTGAACACAGGGTTGCTTTATGAGTGAGTCACATCCCCACCCCTTTTTATTTTTTAAATTTTGAGACAGGGCCTTGCTAAGATGCTGATATTGACCTTGAACTTGTGATCCTCCTGCCCCACATTCCCCAGTCACTAAAACAGGCATGTGCCACTGTGCCTGCAAAAAAACCCACAATTTGAAGAATTATTAAATTGTTAGAGACCTTGATAACAATTTCACAAATGTTGAGAATGTTTATATTAAGTACATCTAAAAATTTTCAAATATATTAGGACAAAAGTATCACATGGTATGATATCAAAATAAAAGTCATAGTTCTTTGACAATTGTGTTATTTTTTTAAAGTGTAGTTTTGGTTCAGAAACCAAATTGGTATGTTTACTGTTGATTTACAATTATAGCTAGATCAGGTAAATTAAAGAACTGGATTTACACTGAACACACAGATGCATATGCTTTGATACTGCATCAATAATTGTTCATAGGCATGTATCCAATGATGTAAAAATAAATGTTCCTTTCTAATTAAAGCAAATCTCACTAAACTTAACTAAAAGACTCTTTGTATTTTAAAGTGGGAATTCTAGAAGAGTGAAAAGAAAAAATAAGCAGGATGATTTGTAAGCATAATGGTATAATGTGTACACATCTATCCAGATTTAACATAATTTTTAAAAATTTTAAACACCCTATGAGTTTGTATCTGCATTAGTAGCTGATTCTAAATTACAGTTTTATTAATTAAGCATATGTTCCAAATAGATCTTCAGGTTTCTAAAGGGCCTCCTTTTCAGAGAAGAGTCTGACAGAAGCAAGTGACCAAGTTCCCTTTTAGATACACAGCAACCCAGGAAGCCTATCAACAGACCAATGATATTCCTTTGCAAGTTGTTGCTCTTCCATAACTTCCTGGTTTTTAAAATGTAGCCACTTAATCCTCCTTTTCAAATCACATGGGCTATTTTTTCAAATCTGTAATAGGTATGTATGTGTGAAGGTTCTATGCTATTATCTCATTTAGAGTAGAAGTCAAAGCAGTAGGACCCATAATAAATATATATATACTGAGGTCTAATAATATCACTATAAGCATTTCATTAAAATTAAGAGGGAAAATGTACCTAAATATCAATCAATATTTAATAATTAATATCTCTAACAAAATCCTTAGGGATAGCCCTTTTAGAAGATTCAAAGTACTACAATTAACCCAAGAACTATGAGAAGCTTTTTTTGGCCTGTTTTGTGTTCTCAAGAAAAATCATATAAAATATTATTATAGTCATAGAAGTTTAATGCAGAAATACAAGAATCATTGGGATATTAATAAAATGAAAGTTAAAACACATACCATAAAATTCCTCTGGTAATGGATATTCTCTTTGTTAAAGTCAATCACATAGCCATTGAAGGACCAGACAAACGTGAGGTCCAAGGCAGGGTCAAAGGACGCAGCACACTGCATGGTGGCATTTTCTCCGACAGTGATATCAGCATTAATTGGGGCCAATATGATTCGTGTGGGATCTATAAGTTTAAAAAAAAGAGTAAAACACAATTTAAGAAAATATAAGATACCATTTTATCTAGTATACCAAATGGATAATAATCAATATATTTTGATTTCTCTATGCAAAGTAATAAAATGTTTTCACATCCAAATTCCAGGAACAATTTTATCAAAGAGGATCGCCAAAGAAGGCTTTTGAAATTGAAACTTAATACATGGACTATTTTAGAACCTTAACCCTGAATTATGTAACTTTTAATACAGTAGAAATTAAGCACCATCAGCTTTAAAAAATATCAATCAAATATTAAATTATTTCTTACCTGTGATGACAAGAGTCCCGGTGCTATTAGCTTTCCCTCTATTATTTTCTGCAAAGCATGTATAGACACCTCCATCATTTCTTGTAATGTTATTGATTTCCAAGCTACCATCTTCCCAAATGAGTATTCTATTAAAATTAAAAATACATGATTTACACAGTTAATTTAATAAAATATTAATGTACTCCTTACATTACCAACACTATTTTTTTTTTACTGTTACATTCTGCACAAGTCTTGACAATAGGGTATTTTCAAGTTGAAACATCCTAGCCTTCTTCACTTATACTATTCTTGAAATATCCCTGGGCCCTCTTACTGACCTCCTGTTGGTACTCTTGCCTTTCCATTGTCTCTTTCCCACATATCAGAGAGGAGGAAACAAGTGACCTAAGTCATTTTATGTCACTCTACCATTCAGTGATGTCACTCTGCAGCTGAAAATTGTCCATGGACTTTCTATCTTAGGTAAAGCTAAAACCAAAGTCCTTTGCCTCCTCATGTTCCAGATAATCTCAGGAATCACCCCTGGAATCTTCAAGGTTTTTGGTTAGTGGCACCTTCAATAAAGTTTTGGATGATTGTAGTAATTGTGGTGAGTGTATGTATGTGCAACACACACACACACACACATACTCACGCACACACACACACAAACACTTTTGCTGTCTTGGAATTCTGTAGCCTATTCCTTTTCCCAGATATTTTTTCCTATTAGATATTTTATTTTAAAATCGTTAGCTTAAGAAATCCTTTTATTAGATTGTAACATCCTAATATTACCAATTTGTATCTATTTTATTTATTGGTCATGTTCCCAACACATAAAACACATATCATAAAATTCCTTTGGTAGGGCTGGGGCTGTAGCTCAGTGGTATAGCACTGAGTGGTGAGACACTGGGTTTGATTCTCAGCACCACATTAAAATAAAGATATATATATATATATATATAAAATTCATTTGGTAATGAATATTTTATTTATTATTTATTTACTATGTGATAGTGAATCACCCAGATAAATGGGTGATTCAAGACTGGATCAAAGGATCAGTATACCATATGTTGACATTTTTTTTCCACAGTGCTTTCAGCTATGTATTCATTCATTAAAAAGAAAAGAAAAAAAAAAAAAACCTCTATGTTATAGGCACTAAGTAATGAGATACTATCACTAAGCAGGTATTTAATGACATTCGAAAAAGGCTCTATTTATATATTTATCTATACATTTGTTTATTTATTGTGGTGTTAGGAATGGAACCCAGGGGCTGGGTGCATACTGGGCAAGAACTCCATCCTGAAATATACCCCTACCCAGCCTTTTGTAATAAATATATGAACTACTTGGGGTTTGATGAAACAAGTGGTTTCTCACACCCCACTACAACTGAGATTTAAACCATGATCGGACAGGCTCAAGCAAGTTACAGGCCTAGAATAATTGAGGTCAGGTCTTCCAGAAAGGAGACCCCAGTACTTCAATTCATACTTCAAAGTTAGAACAGAGAGTTATTCCCACTGCTACAGAGAAACATAAACATAGTTTATTTTTAGAAACTTTTAAAAAGATACTTTAAAATCTCCCTTCTATAACATAATTAACAGGAAATTCTTCTTGGAACGGAACCTAAATCTTTCATACTATACCGATTTCTCAGATGCGCTTCCTCTATTCTAGGGGCTAAATATTAAAAAATTGCTCAGTTTTATTTTTAGCCCTTCATACTTGGATTTAATATTAGATTGCCTGTCATTAGACTTTTATTTTATTTAAATGCATTGTTTTCAAAATTTAAGTCATGATGTATAAAACATTTAAAACTATTTCCCATTTTAGGGCAAAATCTGATGAAAGAAAAATAATAATTATTTACTTCACTAATAAAAGTATCCATATAAGGGCTGGGGCTGGGGCTCAGTGGTGACTGACAATGTATTCCAGGATTTCCTTTCCTTACTTCAACTATCCAGTCAAAGCTCATTTCAGAATATTCTTTGCTCTTGAAAAAGAAATGCAATATCAGAATAATATAAGAATAAAAGTAGTTCTTTGATACCATGGAAACTTTAACAATGTGCCTTTCTCCAACTGTGAGAGAAGATAACTAATCTGTTGCCCAGACACTGCCCTCAGAACTCCATCACTGGTCAGCCAAGGCCACCCATCCCATAGGCTGCTGTTAGCCAGTGACTGAGCATGGGAGGACCTGTACAGGAGGCCTGTTCCATTCAACTCCTCTGAGGGGAATTTGGCTGAAGCACCCCTGAAATCTATGTTGTAAAAGTCCCTTCAGCCCAGCCTTTCCACTTCTTTCCCTCTCTCCTGGTATCAGAACTGCACCTCAGTCAGATAGCTCCCCATCTTCCACCCAACTTCCTTTTCCCTCCCAGGTATTGTAAGTAATAAATCCCTTACACAGCTAGTCCTGCCCCAGCTCCTACTTTTGGACAATGCGTACTACCACATTACCAAGATTAATGTATGAAACATTTTCCTTCTAAGCTCCACAATAAGTCCTTGTCAAACTTCTAACTCTTCCCATTTAATTTTTTTTTCAAGCAAAGCAACAAATATTTTGGCCAAGTTACAGTGGAAAAACTACAAGTCCTTCTAAGATTTAAACTAATATTTTTAGTTTACTTACATATATTAGCTCACAATTGTTTTTTTAAATCCTTTTTAAGGGGTATAAAGTCAAATACTTTTAGTTTACTTACATATATTACCTCACAATTGTTTTTTTTAATCCTTTTTAAGGGGTATAAAGTCAAATACCACCTGATGATGTTTCAGTCAATAATGGCATATGAAACAGTGGTCCAGTAAGCTTGAAAAATTCCTATCACCTCGTGATGACAATGCAATTTCAAGGGCAATGTACTGCTCACAGGTCTGTAGTGATGCTGGTGTAAATAAACCTACTGCACTCTGAGTTCTGAGTAGCACATACAGTTATGCACGGTAATTAATAGTAACCATAATAAGTGATGTGCTACTAATTGGTGTATTTATTTTACTATATTTTATCATTATTTTAGAGTCTACTCCTATGTATTAAAAAGCATAGTTTACTATAAAATGATATGGCATATTATGCTCATTCAGCCCTTCATTGTACCATTTTCTCTGGTGCTTTATTTCATCTTACATTGTTTTATTCGTCATGGCTGTAGGGGCAATAGGCTACACCATCTCAGCTTGTGTAAGCACACAACAATGTTCACATAACAATGAAATCCCCATGTTAAGTGAAGCATGGTTAGATACACTTCCAACTTCTCCCTTGGCATTGAAATTACTTGTAAGAATATTTAGAAAATTTGATTTTTTGGCAAAAAAAAAAGTTCCTCATTCTTAAATCAACTGGGATTAAATTCTCAGGTTCTTCTCCTTATTTATATATAATATGCTATGAATCAGTCAACATAAGCTATTTCTCTTGGTTTTTGTTTAGGAAAAACAAGTCTTTAACAAACTAGTCACCTATTTTTGTCAAAAATTAATCCAGGATGACCTCTATTTGGAGGTTATTTATTGGTAAAGCATACCAATTCTGCAACAGAAAATAATTGTGGGGTTCCTCCCACTTAAGTGACTCAGATAAAGACCATTTTAGAGCTGAAAATAGTCTATCGAATATAAATGAATAACTAAATTAGTTGTAAATTAAAAAGAAATTCTGTATGTCATTAGAACCCCAAAGAAAATCATACAAGTAAGAACTTAATAAAATTTGTCAAAATTTATGACTGTCCCTTACTGAATACAAATATTGTATTAACCATCCTATAGGCTACTAACCGGGCACAGAAATTACTTCATTATATGAAATTAATTTTTATAATTATACTTATCAGAATAACATATGTTTATAATCTGTTTAATCCTTAGATGTTATTTTTCAATATGTTTATGCTTATTTTTTATAAATACAAATTTTTTTTAGTTTTATTTATACATATAATTTTACTACATTCAACATAGGTGTTAGTGAATACTACATATTTTTAAAAATGGTACTAATGCTGAAATATTAATGAATTAAAGTAGTGAGCAAAAATTTAACTCTAGGTCCATTAAGGAAGTAATGAAATTTGATTTCTAAGTCTTTGAAATTATTATAGCACAACCAAAATTATAAGATTTTAGGAGCTAGATCATTCTCTATTTCTCTTGGTTTTTGTTTAGGAAAAACAAGTTCATGAAACATGGTTCTGGGAAATCCTTGGTTGGAGAAACTCATGACACTGGTCTTCATAGAACTGGAGCAAGAATCTATCAGTAAGGGAGGAGAGTTGATGGTGGGCCAGTGGGGAATGTATATTATAGGTGCTATTGGAGTGAGTACCCAACAAGAGGGCAAATTGAGCACAGTGACTCTTCCTTTAGCATTAATTCTTCTAATGTCATTTTGTTAAAGTTCTAAAGACTCAGGTCAAACAGATTAACATTAATGCTTTCCCAATTCACAGTAACCAAAGTATGGAAGCAGCCTAGGTGTTTGTCAACAGACGAAGGGATAAAGAAAATGTGGTATACATACACAATGGAGTTTTATTCAGTCATGAAGAAAAATGAAATTATGTCATTTATAGGAAAATGGATGGAACTAAGCGAATAATCCCAATTCAGAAAAGTTCAAAGTTCCTTTGTTTTTACTCAGATATGGAAGGTGGAGAGGAAAAAGGAAAATAAAGGTGAGGTGGGATCTCATTAAAAGCAAAAGGAGATCAGTAGACTAGAAGAAAGGGACCAGGGTGTGGGAGGAGGGGAGAAGTGCTGGGGAAGGGTATTGACCAAACTATCTTGTTATGTTGAGGGCATGAACTCATATGTAACAACAAATCCCACTATTATATACAACAATAATGCACCAAGAAATGTGGCAAAAATCAAGTCTGTAAACTATGGCTTGTGGTCTGGCTGGCTGTTTTTATAAATAAAAATAAAGTAAAAAACAAAAGTTAATGTGTTCGGGTAAGGCCCAGGTGTTCCTGCCCTGCCCCCTGCCCCTATACACAGTCATATTTGGGATCATCCTAACAAGACAACTGCAGCAGCAAATCCTCTTTCCATGTCAACATGACACCAGTTCAAGTTCCAGTTTGGATATTAATGATGAGTTGTCATAAGATCAGTTAACTTTTTCAGGCCTTAGCACATCCATCGTATTACTTTGTTGGATTGTTATGGAGATTTATTTTCTATACTTTTGCCAGAATATTCTTTCAAAAGGCAAAATAGTATCCCATTCCTCCTTTTTTAAGGCTTTAGACAGATTTTCATTATTCTTACATGAAACCCAATCCCCTTAGCAAAGACAATTCTACATTTGTTAACTAGCTCACTATATCTTATCCCTTAAAAGTCTTCTTCATTTTTTCCCTAAAGACAAATTATGCCATTCCTACAGTTCCTTACACATCCTATTTTCCTGCCTCAGGGCCTTTGCTATGCTGCCTTCATTTTCTGGAACATAGCCCCACCCCACCCCCACTTCTCATTCTTCCTATTTCCCATCCTAGCTTTCTCTCTCTCATTAGAACTCAGTATAAATGTAACCTCTTCTAGGAAGCCTACAGAAACGTTTCAGTGATGGTTTTAAGTTAACAGTCACCCTCAGCTTTCTTTGTCTTGAACCAAAACCACCAAAACATTGGTAGGTGGTCTGCTTACTGGGGAGATGATAAGAATATCCTGCTCATTATAAGAAGATGGGAAGACATGCTTATACTTTGAAATCACCATTTTATATTCTTATCAACATATTTAATAGGCTAATTGTACAAAATTATATAAAATGTGAATAAATGCCCTTGTTTGGAAAAACAATGAGTTAGAGAGATCCTATTTAATTTCCCACTGTTTATTAGCTGAGTAGTCTGGGGCAATTTATAAACAGAAACCTGCACCTCTGAGCTTTGAAGTCCTAAATGCCTTATAAATTTTGTAATGCTGAAAATTCAATTCTGTTCATCTCGTTACTATAGTAAAGAGAAAAGTTGGAAGAAACAACAATTGTATTAGTGAAATGAAAACATTCTACAGAATAAACTTTCCCAAATAATCAACTTGAATTATACTTCTAGTTTCCAAACTGACCTGCTACTGTTGACAAGCCACTCTGTTCCTTTACTCCAGGAGAACTTTGGTTTAGGTGCTGCTTTAGGTTTGCATTCAATTATAACCCTTCCTCCCTTAGCAGCCAGGATCTTTTTCTTCATAGGATTCATTTCAAAAGTTGGAGCCAAAGCTGAAAGAAAAAGAAACAATTATTTTTCTCTTCTTGTTAAAGAATCCAAATATTTCTTCTGTATTACATCACTTCTATTCCATTTTGATTAGAAGAAAGGTTAATCTCAGTAAATTATGATCCAGGCCTAATACTTTTCTTTTATTTAATAATTTCTACATAGCATAAACTTTACCCAATCCAAATATACAATTCTGAAGCCTTGATTATAAATACATAATATACCTGGGTTATAAACTTTAGTTACAATCAAATGTTGTGCATAAATTCAACATAAAGTAACCTCTAATTCAATTGTTTTGATTCATTTCCAACAGGGAAGTGAAGTGAAAGGCTGGAGAGAAGTAAGCCTATAAACATTCTCATATGGTCCTAGTAGATCCTCTCAACCATGCCTTGAATGAACTATGAAGAGGTTATACATAAGAGAACTGAAATCTATTGGAAATCTGTAATTTCACAAAGCTGCCATAGGAAGTATATTGATGGGATTCATATTTGAATCTAGGCCCTCCTATTTCCAAAGCATGCAGATTTCATGAAACAATATCACCCTTCCCTCATTAGATGTTTGCCAAGCACGGTGTGCAGGCATACTGCAAGATGCCCAAATAAACAGAGCAATTCCTGTCTTAATGACCTATATACAAAGAGCTGTGGGAAAAGGGACCACATTCATTAGGGAGCACATGAGCCATCTGTAGCTCATGCTCACTTCAAAGTATTCAGCAATAATAATGATAGCTGGATATAGTGTCTCATGAATGGTCACTCCATTGATGGTATGCTTTCACTCTCTTCTGAGTCCCCACATCTTGTCCAGTGCTCACTCCCCTTGTCTTTAGGCAGATTGCAGGGGGACATCATTTATCCACACTCCAATCATTTGTACCCCAGCTTTTCTGGAGCCTTTCTTAGATTATGTATATCTTTAGCTGAAATTTTTTTAAATTTTCTTTTTAGTTGTAGATGGACACAATACCTTTACTTTATTTATTCATTTTTATGTGGTGCTGAGGATCAAACCCAGTGCCTCACTCATGCTAGGCAAGCACTATACCACTGAGCTGAAACCCCAGCCCTTTAGTTGGAATTTGACTCTTCATCTAGGCAAGTGATTCACTAACTTTATCTGTGTATCAAAATCATCTGAGGATCTTGTTATAATGTCCACATTAAGTCTAGGTGGACCTGAGATTATGTACTTCTACTAAGCTCCTAAGTATTGCTGCTTCTGAGACGATGCCTTTAATGCAAGGATTTAATCCATTTCATTGTTCCTTTAATCTGGATGTATTTTGTTTAGACTAATTTTGGGGGGGTGACATATTGCAGAAAAAAATATAAGAGAAACTTTAATAAGATTATGTTTTTTAAATTGAAGTACATCTAGAAAATAAGAAAATTTATAAGTTAGTTTTTAGTGAATTGAAGTCCATTAAATGACCTCATTTTATCTGATATTTTGATTTCTAGAAACAGAATCTAGACTACATTTCTACACATTTTGGAAGTAGGAAGGAATGAGGGAATATTTTTCCTTAACTAAGAAATAGAAAGTATGACACATAGCTTATCTTTTGTTCTTTATTGTATCACATGCACCTTCTCTTAGAAGAATGGTATCTGATGTAGACACTCAATAAATATTTGGTGGAAGAATGAATGAATTAAGTGGATAATTCAGGAAGAAAAAGAGCAAGACAGAGATAGAAGCACTGTTCCTAAAGGTATAAAATATAAGAATAAATTGAGACTAACATAAAGATGTCCTGGAACTATTTATGTGAGACTCAATGGGTGAATAGTTTGCTTAATTACTGTATTGATAGTCATTAAAAGATTAAAGACTTTAAGCTTGAATATAGAGAGATCATTCAGTCTGATCTAGCGAGTTTTCACACTTCTTTTTTAAATATCTCAAGATAAATAATAACTTCAGCAGAAAACAGAAAGTTTACATTTTGGAAAGAATCAATCTCACCTAATTTGTTTTGTTAAGCATCAAAATGATTTCACACCCCTTTGCACCAAAGACATTTGAACTGCAATGCTTGCTTGATTCAAACACAACGTAACTAGAGTAAATATATTACCAAGGAATTTACACTTTAGGGAGGAAGAAATGGAGTATGATCTTCAGCATTATAATAAATGGCAGTGAAAGTTAAAATTAGTGCCACCTAAACTTTTTTTGAAGATTCCTTAACACTTTCCTAAAATTTTCTTATCTCTTATTGTCTTCTAGATTCACTCAATCTGCAGTTCTACACGTGTTTTTGAGAGTTTCCTTTTGATGCAGCAAGAATAAAATTGGCCACATTGAGTCATTTCTTTATGTTTTCAATAACCAATTCTAGAAGAGGAAGCCTGACTACATGGATTCATTACTTAATGTATGAACAAGCCTTGTGTAAACTCCTTCAAATGATGTGAAAAGGATGTGACACAGTAAGAACTTTGTTAAAGTGGTTGTAATGAAAACAAGGAAAATGTGAAAGATCTGAGAGAGATTATTGGTGTGAACTGGAGAAGTTTGGTGGATGTACCAGATGTGGGAAAGACACCAGGAAGACTCTACCATCCTTCAGAACAGAGAATCTTGGAGGAGAGAAGATGTGGCTGTAAATAATGAAGTCAGTTTTAGATACTCTGATTTTGAATTGTCTATTGGGTTATATGGATGAACATCTCTTCTAGAAAGTATTTATATTGAGTCTGAAGCTGAGAATAAGTATCTGGGATAGAGATGGAAATGATATGATAATTAATGGGAGAGGAAGAAATTGAGTAAGAATTTCAATAATAATAATAATAGTTATCCAGGAATAATTATACAGACTATGTGAATAGATACAGGAAGGAAATGGAATGGAACCAGATGAACTGAACTCTGGGAGAGGGCAAGATTTGTATCCAGACAGAGGAGGGGATAGAAAGAGAACAGTGAAAGAGATGGAGAAGAAATGGTCTTGGACTTCTGAGAACTGGAAGTCACCAAAGACAAGAGAGATGAGTGTTCCAAAATAAAATATGACTAGAAGAGATATCTTAAAAGAACATGTGTACACACATACATGCACACATATAAGAGAAGGAATAGTTACTGGTACAATATAACAGGAAAAGTAAAAAACAATGAAAATAGAGGTAGAGGAATGGAAGAGACACCTCCTTCTCTGGATGATAGAGTACTGAGAAGACAGGGGTGGTGCGGAGATAGTTTTAAGTGTGAATGGCAAGTTGAAAGACTTTATGCCAAAGGATTTCTATTTTCACAGAAACTAAAATAACACTATGAAAGTAGAAATCCGGATGGGGACGGGACTTCCAGAAGAGCCTGAAGGTGTGGAATAGCAACTGTAGCACGAGACTCAGGGACTGGTAAAGCTCCAAAGTGGTAAAGACTCATCTGAGGCTAGATTATAGGCAGTGCTGGAGTGTCAGTCTTCACTGTTAGGCCAATATTTAGCTGCTCAGATTTATGAGACAAGACTTGTCAAAAGTGGCACAGGTAATTTTGTTTTACCATTTTAAAAATGTTCAAAACCCATTACACTCCATAATTTCTCAAAATGATGAGAGTACAGCTTCTTACAGTTTAAAAAAGTATGCGATTTATGAAGTAATTTACATGCACTGGGAATTTTCAAACAACATAAGACAACTTTAAAGAGTTATTCTTCTTCACTTAGTCCTCAGTGAAAACAAAGACAATACCATTCCATTCTAAACCACATTTCCAAAATTATTGAGTTAAGTAATTAGAGAAAATCATGTGGATTAAATGTAATCTATGAATACTTTACATGTCATTTTCATGATAAACATTGAAGAGAAATTAGAGATGATACTGACCCAAGATTTTCAACTCAGCATTTGCATAAATGGCTCCATAGGTGTTTTCAGCTATGCACTGATACATTCCAGCATTTTCAAAAGTCACATCATATAGTCTCAGTTCCCCTTTATGATACTGAAAGGAATAAAAGTAAAACACACCGTCTCCATAAACTTCAATAGAAATGCTTTCATTTAGGCTTGAGCTTATCTTTTAATTCAGCTATGTTATGTTCATCTGCCCCCACTATTACCTAAGATGTGAAGAGTGGGAATTTCATGGCCTGGGGAGGAAAAACCCACTTACCATGCCCAATGGCTCTTGTTCTACTCATCTTACAGAGCCGAGAGTCCACCTTTTTCCCTCTTGGACCAGCTGGGAGAATACAGTGGGAAAGTAGACAAGGATCCCACTGCTGCTACTTGTCCCCAGGGCTAAAGGTAGGACTTAAGAGCGTCTCTCTTACCTCTGTTTCTGTGGGATTCAGGCAAACAATGGCAAGAAAAAGGGGACAATATCAGGTAGTGGAGATGGATGAGTAGGAAGAAGGGAAAAAAGTGGAACAAAGGAAAAATAAGGAGAGAGAGAGAAAGAGAGAAGGTAAAGATAAGATTACAGAAAGTTGTTTAAACTGAAAGAAGATACGTAACATTCAGTTTCTTTCTTTCTTTCTTTCTTTCTTTCTTTCTTTCTTTCTTTTTAATGAAGCTTTTGTATTTCAGGGCCCATTACCCCTACTCTTTTGACTCTCCTGACTCTTCTGCTAAGTTTATCCCAGGACTACCCTGAAATGTTGCTTAAATGTAGACTCAGAGACAGCACAACGCTGGAACCTACATACCGCATATCCATTTTTCAGCCACCGGATTGTAGGGATGGGCTTCCCTGTGGCTATACAAGGCCAGTAGAGATCACTGCCGATGTCCACCTCTGTGTCATTGATATGTTCTACCCACTCAGGAAATGCTAAAAAGCAAAGAAAACTTTAAATGTCTCAATATTCATCACAATCACAAGAGTGTAAATATTACATTTTGTTAACATTCTTATGGAAAATACATTAGATATGGCATGTGTCCAAAATCAGTGTTAGAGCTATTAAAACTGTATTTGCACAGGTCTGCGTTCTATGCAAATCCTACATCATCACAGCATGAGGTAACTGCAATTTAGTTAGCAATTATTTTTTCTATTTGTAAAGCATGTTTGTTGGAAAGCTAATTCACATAAGATTTATTTTTTCCTTCAATCTAAATCTTTCAAATCTGTTAAAGGGAAAATTGAGATTTTAAAGAATTATGTATCAATTAATTATGTCTTAATTCATTTTGACATCATATTTTTCTGATTCAAGATTTGATTTTCTTTTTAAGTAGCTCAAGTATACATTATCTTACTTTTGGAGCTTTCATCTGTTGACCACTGGGATACCCTATTGTACTTTCATCTGTTGACCACTGTGATACCCAGTGACCTGGTCACTGAAATGTGCTTTCCATATTAGAAACTAAACACAGTCGCTATGACTGGCAAAACCCATGACTCAGTGAAATGTATCTCAGACTCTTTATTTGATCTGATTTATTTAACAGTTTTACAGTGCAAAAATTCTAGAAATTTCCTAGAAGAAGGAAAAATAAATAACTCTAGAGAGCAAGCACATGAGCAATCTGATAGTCTTATTGAATATGTCAGTTATCTAAATCATCCACCTAGATGCATGTAAATGAACTGATGTAAACTTTTAAAAAGTATGGGGAGAAAATCCTGAGTGGTGTGTGGCAAAATTAAAACTCATTCATTTTTGACAAAAGTAATATACACATCTCATAAGAAGAATTTAACATTTATATTAATTTAAAAAACAGAATTTAATGATCTCAACAAACCCTATCAACATTACATAAATGTATACATCTATATAAATTTTTATAGTATATATAATATAATTTAATGCATTTTAATTAACTATTTTATTTGTCTAACATATATAGAGAGATAATTTTTTTAAAAGTTGAATGTTAGTAGGTATGTTCATGTTTATTGATGCAGGTTTTATTTTGTACACAATCTTAGCAACACTTGAAGTAGGAATGCCAGCCTCTTTCCTGCATTGTCCTCACACAGGTAACACATGAGTGTCATGTTACATAATACAATTAAGAATATAAATAAGTGAATCAACTTGATACATTCTGTACATAGTTTATTATTTAGTCTTCTAGTGGTTTGATTATACTTAAAGAAAAAACCTAATCTGTCTCATTAGAAAAGGAGAAATAATAGTTCCCTTAAATACATGCTGTATCACTTTGGTCCTTTTAAGGCATTAGATATTAGAATATTCAAAATATTCTAATATTCAAACTTGTACTTCTCTGATAACCTGGAGTGCAATTTCCTTAATGTATTGAATAAAAAAAATATCTACACACATTAGAAAACTGGTAAAAAATTGTAGCTTTATATAAAAATTTAAGAGATCTAACCGGAATTTCTCCCCACTTACAATGCCACTCCATGTACATTTGATATGTGCAAGTTCATGTTAGTAGGCCATTTGGTATGCAAATCTGTGGTTCAGAATAAATGTCAGGGTTAGTGCTCTCAGGGTATAGAGCATGGAGAAGATCATAAAAAGGAATGAGGAACATAGAGAAGAGGTGCAAAGACTAAACCATGATCACACCAATGTTATAAAGGCACAGAGTTAGTACACAGCAAAGGAGAATGAGAGGAGTACATGAGGAAGTTGATAAGTGTGTATTCCAGATGCCAAGTACAGAAAGTGAATCATGGAGAAGGGAGGGTGCCAGTGTGGTCCCTGATACTGTCAGATCTAATAAGGGACAAAGGAAAATTGATTATCAGCTTTAACAACATGGATGTGATCAATGATTATAAAAAGAAAAGTTTTTAGCAGAAATTTGTAGTTGAAAATCAAATTGGAGTGCACTGAAGAGAAGTGAAAATTGGAGATGGAGACAACATCTTTAGAGTTTAAATAATTCTGTCAAGATTTTTGTTATATTTTGGGGGAGACGAGAAGAAGTGGAGCACTAGTCAAAGTTGAAAATGAAGGATCTTGTTGAAGCCTTAGATGCTTATTCTATATAATGGAACATTACAAAAATGATTTCATCCTGAAAAGTTTCAAGTGTTGCCTGAAAAAAATATGAGTTTATTTTAATGTGTGAGATTGGAAAACTTTTGCCGAAATAATTTTGTCAAAGGAAAATGATTCCTTACATCAATGTTTGTCAAAGTATGATTCTAGGATTATCAGCATCGCCATCTTCTGGGAACTTATTACAAATACAAATTCTCAAGCCTAAAGTAGACTTTCTGAGTCAGAAATTCTGAGGATGGGGCCCAGAAACCTGTGTTTTAACAAGCCCTCCTTCTCTGGGTGATGTTGATACATGGAAAAGTTTGCAAACCACTGAATCAAACTAAGTCATAATACATAGATTCTTCTATAAATAAAAAGTACTGAATAAAAGAGAATGTTGAAAAGAGTAAATGAGCTACATTAACTGAAATTAAGTTAATGAAAGTGAAAATTACCATGAACACTACTATATCAATCTATTAACAATGATGCTAAAGGTATAAATTTATAACTTCTATAGCTCAGTTGTGACTTAACTAGACATGAGATAAATATTTAACATTTATGTATAATGTAATATATATGACTGCTTTTAAAACTACTAATCAATATATAGCAATGAAAATGTCTCTGAATAAAATATTAATTAAATTTATAGAAAATTAAAATATTCACCTTGAACGTAAATTCTTGCTTGGTGTTTATCCTTTCCTCTAATATTCTCAGCCTCACATTCATATATGCCTTCATCTTCCAGCTGAATATTGAAGATCTTGAGGACAGCTCCTGAGGTGCTGATCTCAGCAGTGCTTGGCATTGGTTCTAGAACCTTCCGCCATCGGATATCAGGAACAGGACTTTAAATTAAAAGATACAAGAGCTAAAAATCCAACACTTAAAAGACATTTGTGTTTATAGTTAAATATTTACATTATTTATTTCTTGAAATGGTTCAAAAACTAATATTTTTCTAGATGTGTTAATGCAAAGTATACTTACTTCCCAAGTGCAAAACACTCTAAAGTCACATTTTGACCCATCAATGCATATATGTCCTTGAACTGAACTACAATATCAGCAGGATATGGTTTTGTTGTTCCTAATATTAAAAGAAACAATATCAATGAATTATTAAACACAATAGTGATTTTATTTAACATTGTGACTTTTGTAGGTTTAGAACTACTTCAATATGCAAAGCTTTTCTCCATACAGGCACTGATCATGTCACACTATATAGACTTGTTTATTTTTATTTAGTACATGAAAGTATGAAGTTCATCAAGCATTTTCAGTTAACATGGACTCATTCTGAGCCTCATATAATCAATCTGACTCAATTCACTTCAAAAATTCAAGGAGTCATTAAGGAGCATCAAATATGTATAAAACATTATGATCCATGGTGTACAAGAATCAGAAAGATAGAAAAAGAAGAAAGGAAATGGGAAAGAATGGGGAGAAGAGAATGAAAAATAAAGAGGCAAGACCAGAAAAAAAAATGGAGAAAGGATGAAAGAAGTGTCCAAAAAGATGAAGACAAACAGGAAATAAAGGCTGTGCAAAGGTCTGGAAACTCAACTGATGTTAAAATATATTTAGATGAAGACCAGCTTTAACCCACAATGTAAAAGGCCTGAAAAAAGACTTTTGAGATTTCTCACTAACTATCAATGAGACTTATAACAGAAGTAATATGGATTTCAGGAAGCTACCCATGAATTACATGAGGATCTTCTCTTAATATGGCAGCCAGAGAGATTTAGTTTGGCATTGCAAACTATCTGTAGCTCTCCCATAGCAACAGATTTCCCAATGCACGTGAGCTTTGTCTCCTCTCTACTAGGAAGATACCTCATATTTGCTCTGGTGATGGGTGTAACCTGTAGAGAACTGTACAGCCCACCTGTAACCTTTTTTGGTGAAGAACATTCTATGGAGAGCCTTTGATGTTTCCCAATATAAATAAAGCAGGTGCAGGCTCCATTTTGCCAGATTCTAGAAGCTCCATCCACATGATCCGCTTGCCCATCCTGCCCCTGCTTTTGAAACTACTTTCTGTGTACTGTGGTTTTTTCATTGTCCTATTTTTTTTTTTAGCTTTTATTTCTCAGCCAGCCCACTCCACTGAGGGGAATCCCATTTCCACCACCCATGCAAGCATGAGCAGGAATGGATCTTACCTTTGGCTTACAAAGAAGATCTTTTTGGCTGTTTTAAAAGATGGAACATGGAAAGGATAAATATAGAAGGCATAGACAGAGATCTAAAGAAGGTTGGTTAATTAATTCTGGGAAAATAGGTGAGGGCTAGACCTGGGGTACATAAAAATGAGAACAGAAAAGAAAGACCAGACAAAAATTGTATTTGAACAGTGGAATCAAGAGGACTCTCCTTGGATCAATGTTTCTTAAGGTATAGATCAAAGACCAATGTATCAGAATCACCCAGAATGTTCAGTGAACTTAGAAATTTCTAGGTCATATCCCAGGCCTATTAATTCAGGCTCTCTGCATTTCACATTTTTCTCAAAACTCTCCATTGCTTACACTAATTAAGATCCAAGGACTAGATGTTCTGAATATCAAGGAAAGAGAGGAATTGATGAGTTGAAATGCTTCCTGGCATTAGGAAAAATAAAATGGTATGTTCTGAACACTTTGGACTTAACCTCCTTGAAAACTTTGTGGGACAAGTTCAGGACATAAATTTAAAGAGATCTTCATAAGGCAGCAATTAAAAATGTGTAAGTAGCTAAGAATACCTAGGAAATGACAGGGGAGACACATAATAAGGAAGAATCTCTGGTGAAAAACACTGGGCAAAATTTGTCATAGCAACAAGTAGAAGATGAAGAGTCTAGGAAATTAGAAGGGAATATTCATAAGAGGTAGAAAAGAAGTGTCAGAGATCCAACACAATGAGGGCTGAAAAGTATCCTTCAATTGAGAAACAAGAAGTTGTGATTATTCAAGGTTGTTTGCTTTGAATGCAAAGAACATACAGAGGGAATGAGGAAGATAACATTTTGAAGATCATAAGAGAAAGTAAAAAAGTGATTGAATCAAATGGGATGTGAACCAGAACAACAGGAGGAATAAGTTTCAGCAGGAGGAGAAATATTTCTTCCACAGAGACAGGAAGTAAGAAAATGAACTGAAGTGTTGAAGTGCCAAGTATATTTCTTGGGGAGAGTAGAAAGAATGATCCAGGGAATTTTTGCACAATGGTTTCTTTATCTCTCTGAAGTAAGAAGTGAGAGTATCTAAGACTAAGAAGAAAAAATGAGCCAGAAAGTCAACAACATGTACTGAATACTAATTATGTCACTCTTTCTTTACAGAGAGAAATCTGGCATCTCAGTGGCATTATGGCATTTTCCCCATTGTCACACTGTATTCTGGAAGAGACAGGAACCAAAGCTGTCTGTCAACTCTTATGCTGGTGTTTCATCTGGTGCTGTAAATCACTGATATTAATGTAGCAGCAGGACTGGGATAAAAAGCAAGGTAAAAAAAGCAAATATAGTATGATCTGATTATCTTAAATAGCAGTGAATTTTAAAAGAGAGTTAGTTCACTAAGAACCTGTCCATAGCACCCTATGTGAATTAGAGCAGGGAAGGCTATTTATTTACTTATTGGCATCATGTAAATATTTCCTTCAAAATAGCAAAATAATAAAACTGCTCTTCAACCCCTCACCCCCATCTGTACTTGCTATTGTTTGTTTAGATCTAATCATTTGGTCTCTTTATGGACTTACAAAGAAGTAGGAATGGCTACAAAACAGATGCCAGCAACTCCTATTGCAACCAATAAGTTGGCACTGGAGGAATGAATCAGTCCTAAGCTATAGAAAGCTAACCTGAACTCAACCATCTTAGGGATGCTCTATTAGGTAAATCACAACTCAAAGAATTAAGCTTTGCACCCCACTTAGATGCCTGTCTTTTGTATTATCCTACCTAAGAAGCAGGCTGGCCTCCCCACTGGAGAGTTGTTCTTCTTTTTAGTATAGGTATGTCATAAACAGACAAACTTGCAAAAACAGTGCATTAAATAAAATACTTACGTTCAGGTATTGGAATGAGTGGGATAAATTTGCTGAACACACTCTTTGTAATGGAAGGACTGGATACAAAGCAGGAATAATTGCCTTTGTCAGATGCCTCAACGTTTGCAATGTAGAGATTGCCATTCGTCTGAGACACAAACCTTCGTTTATCCATTGTGATAAATACAGGAAATTCATTTAGAAGCCAGCGGTAGCTAAGATCATCTAGAAGAAAATATTGTCTACTAAATATTAAGCTCTTCTCCAAAAGCAAAGGTTCTGTTTTTCTAATCACAAGCTGTCAAATAACCTATTAGAAGCTATGGTAGAGCAAATGTTAGAAGAGAACCAAGACAAACTTGGTACAAATTCTTCAATAGCTATCATTTTTCATGAATATAAGCAAAGTATTAAGTAATTACATTTATTTATTTATCTATATTAATGTACAAACTATTGGCATTTTTATTTCCATTTCATTGATATGTTTAAGTGAAACTCAAGTTAAAAACTTGTTTAGTAAATTAATGACCACTAAGTACAATTAGGACTTCAATACAGATTTAATAATTCCAAAGTCCACAATCTGTCTGCCCTACTGTATTTTGTAAATAAGTTCAAAATGACTTAACATACTATGGCTTTATATCTTTTTTCCTTTCTGTATTCCTATTTCAAATTGTGAATTTAGAAATGAGTTTGCATAACCTGTTGTGGTCATATTAAAAAGTAAAAACAGAATGGAATGTTATTAGTTTTTTAAATATTAGGAAATGTATCATATGGTTACTCAGCCACAGAAATTTCATTGGCTGATCATACCAGACAGATCAAAAACGAAATGTCCTTCTTAATTTGGATCATACCAGACAGATCAAAAATGGAATGTCCTTCTTAATTTGTTGCTTTGCCACTCATTTTCTATTTCTGCCATGAAGAAAAATTCTAGTAGTCATTCAACAAAAGTACATGATGAAACTATGGATGAGGCATACTTCTAGATCACAAAATGATTACTCCCTTTAATATAAATTGTCCAAGGGAAGACAGTGGCTGCTAGGAAGAGTGTAATTAGAAATTCAGATTCTAATTAGATTAGAAATGTAGGTGTACATTCTCTAATTTGCTTACTGTACAAAATAAGGATCTCTGATGTGCCATTAAACAATATAGATTTGGTCTTTGCTCTTGTGGGACTTGTAATATAATCTAAATTCAACTAACAAATTTTGACCTAATGACAAGGACTTCACTTAGACAAAAATAATAACTGCAATGTGTCAGAGGATATCAACTGTCATTACAACAAAAGAAGAAGTCTTCTCCCATTATTATACAGAGGAGCAAAAGCCTTGCTAGGTTAAGTGATTTCCCAAAATCCATACAGCAAGAAGGAGCCAAAACCAATATATTCACCTTCTTCCTTGCCCACCATCACCAAAACAAACTGTGCCATGACCATACTTATAAGTGCCCTGTTTCCCTGACTTAACAATGAGATGATTTTAGCAATTAAGAGCTAAGTCCTAATCTAGTTCTCACAAAGATTCAATGGATTATCTTTTGTTCTGTATATTTCCTTGCCATTTCCCTACTCCATGCAGTTGATTAAATCAACCATCTTTGAAAAAGCCATTGCCTGTTTTTCTCCTACCACTATAGACTGGATTAAACAATAATTAACCATAAAATTAATTTTTCAGTAAGAGTAAGTGCCAGCACATGTTTTAAAATGTTGCTTTTATCCACAGATATAAAAGATTTCTAACCCTTGTCCCAGGAGAGTCTGAACCATACATATTATGAGGGAAATTTTGTTTTGGACAACTGCAGTGCATTTAGCTACTTTCATTGTATTACTTTGAACTGCATCACTTATTTAGCCTTGCTGAATAATGTATCTTTCTCCTAGAAACACACTTGAAGTACTTTTGTGTGCCCTGGAGGAGTAATTTGCAAACATTTTCAGAATATTTTCATGCTTTTATAAAAACTAGCCTTGAAGCCTTGACAGCATAGTTGACCTACACCAACAAAATCGCCAGAGCTTCTGATTAGTGCTTCAACACAGCAAATTGTATGTTAAACATATTTAGAAAGAAATTTATACCAACTTATACACATTGTGAGTTAATATATTTTCTACCCTGCTCTCTGGCTCTTGTTTATTTTTGTGCTGAGCTTTATTAGTCTGTTGAAATTCCTTCATAATCATATTCAACATAGCAGGAATTATTTTTCATAAGTCTATTCCCATTTCCTTTTCCAGTTTTTGAATTCGTATATAAAACTATTGTTAGGTATTTTATATTTTATCAATAGAACTCACCCTTCAGTTGATGGCCTTTTTATTTTTCTCCCTATTCTCATTCTCTAAAAATACAAAGATATGGCTTATATTTTATGAGATACATTTCAACCATTTTTGATAATTATATTGACATAAAATAGGCTATAAATAAAACATTGTATTTTAATTTTCAAAAGTCTAGGAGTTTAAAAAAACTCATGCACTTAGGAATTAATTATCTAAAATAAAATGTAAACAAGTTTAGTTTCATATGAATCTTAACACCTATATACAATCAAGTTAATGAACAAATTAATTTTCTCTTTCATTCTCTTACCCACTCATTCCTCAAATATTCTTTAAGTATTTATTTTGTGCTAGGCATTAAAAATCAGTTGTATATCAAGTATTATTATAAAATTGAATAAGTATTTATTCTGAAATGTACATTTGTGATTGTTCTTAATAAATAAGTAGCATAGTTCTGATCAAATATTTCCCCTTAGAAAACTACAGTACCTAAACTCAGAGGAAAATGTAAGAACTATGACAAATGAGATGTTTCCTTTTGAATCTTTTTTCCTGTGCATAAATGAGAGACAACATATCTACAGTCATGCATTAAAAAATCTTAGGCTAGGGATGCGGCTCAGTGGTACAGTGCTTAAATGCACGAGGCCCTGGGTTCAATCCCTACCACTGCAAAAAATACAAAATACAAAATAAATAAATAAAAGCCCCAAATCCTCAATGTAGTAAGATTTACTGAATAATACTTATGGACCTAAAATATTGAATGCACTTATATTATTTTATTTACCTTGATAATAATCCATAGAAATTATATATCTATTTTACCATTTTCAAATTCACTATTAAGTTTGAAACTCAAAACAAGCTATGTGGAAGAAATGGCACAGGAGTTATTATCCCCAAAGTTTAAATTAGAAAAGCAAGATAGATATGACCAAGTTTACCTGACAGTGAGACTGATTCCCAGATTATCATTGGGGCAATAGGGCTTTAGAACTATAAATAAGGCCATGTATAATATTCGTTCATATTCAAAACCCAACAACAGATTCCTTTGCACACTCAGTTCAATAAAGTTCTAAGATTCAAAGCACAAAACTTCAATTTAACTGCATTAAGGAGGAAAGAAGATTTATGGCATAGAGATAGTATATATTGTTGACAGTACCATGTGCAATGTTTAAAGATATCATATAGCTTCTAATAATAACAAATAGAAAGGAGATGAAGAGCTACTCAGATTTTATTCTGTGATTAATGATTTTCTTAGACTCATTTAAAAACAGCTTAGTTTTAGATTTTTTTTTTTCAAAATATGCTCATATATCTTTATCAAAGAGGTAATTGATTCTCTTGGTTTATTAATGTTAAGTTTCTCCAAACCATTTTTTGGGTCCATGAAATTCTTCATTCAGCACAGTGGTTAAGAAATCATAGAGACTGAAATCAGAACTTACTTTAAGTAAATCTCAGCTTATACCTTGGAAATCTTCCTCCCACTTTCTATCTACTCTAATTTTCTAGGTAATCACATGCAGCCAAAGGCTTTAAAAATATATGATGATAAATCACAGATCGATATTTCTAACTCAGATGTCACCTGTGAGCTCCACACATATAAAGCTCACAATATGACTTACACTTGGAAGTTTAATAGACATCTCACATTTAATGTGTCCATATCTATTCCTTCAGCTTAAGTAATGGCAATTCAGGAACTCATGACAGAACTTTTGAAGCCATGCTTAACTTCTGCATTTCTCATATACGTCACATAAAGTTCTACCATTAATTCCTCTTGTCTCCTTCCTCAAAATATATGCTGAATTTAACTCAAGGACATGTAAAATTAAATATATCAATTTATCTGGAATATATCCAGAATTTTCTTTCCATCTATACTGCTACCACTTTTGGCCACTGTATGTAATCCCTCTGATCTTTTTCTACCAGTAACAAGTTATCTTTTCATAATCAAAGTAATGTTATATGACTCCTTTGCTCAAAATCCTCCAGTGCAATTCTCATTTAAAGTAAAAGCCAAACAAATTGCAATATATGACAGGATCCACCATGGGGCTCTAGTTTCTCTCTCATTCCATTTCTTGCTGCCTTCAATCTTATTCACTCTAATGGAACCACTCTGGCTTTCTTGCTACATTTGCCTGGAATGTCCTTCTCTCAGGCACTTTTACCATTAGCTTTTTCATTTTCTTCAGGCATTTATTCAAAGTTCCCTTCTCAGTGAGGCTCAATCTAAAAGTTCAATCATTCCCTAAACTCCCTCTCCTCCCCTTCCCTACATTATGTGTTTCTCCCTAATACATATCTAAAATACAAAGCATGCCGTATCTTTTAATTCTTCATCCTGCTTACTGTCTGTCTGTCCCAGCAGAATGTCTATGAAAGCTGGTAGCTTTTCTATTTTACTTCAACTGAGGTGTTACTGTGGTATACCAGTACCTGCTATGTACAGAGAGCTCATAAGAGATTTGCTAAGTCAATGAGTGAAGTAATGATGCCTATTCAGTATTGAATTTCAGATGTAGTCATGCCTGTTCATGGTTGTTACCTTGTTTGTGGGGAAGACAATGAAGCTAGGAAGGTTATTTTTCACAGAAAATGCCTATTCTGTCATTGAAAGGTTTTCATACATTTTAAATTTCATATATTATTTCTGTATTTCTCAAGTAATCATCTCTATATATGTATTTTTATAATAGTTTATATATATATATGTGTGTGTATATATATATATAAAATTTTGTGTGAGGTACATATGTGCGTATATACATATGCCCACATCAGGTTGATATATTCCACACAAAACTATTTATAATAGCCTGTTATGTTTTATTCTCTACAGAGATGTCTAGAGTCAAATTTATGATATAATTTGTTATATATAATGGCAGAATGCATTAAAATTCATATTAAACATATAGAACACAATTTTTCATATCTCTTCTTGTATACAAAGTATATTCACACCATTCATGTCTTCATGCATGTACTTAGGGTAATGATATGCATCTCATTCCACCATCATTTTTACTCCTGTGTCCCTTCCCTTCCCTTCACACCCCTTTGCCCTATCTAGAATTCGTCTAATCCTCCCTGCTCCCCTTCCCAATCCCATTATGAATCAGCATCCTTAAATCAGAGGAACTTTCAGCATTTGGTTTGGGGGGATTGGCTACCTTCACTTAGCATTATCTTCTCTAACTCCATCCATTTACCTGCAAATACCATGATTTTATTCTCTTTTATTGCTGAGTAATAGTCCATTGTGTATATATACCACATTTTCTTTATCCATTCATCTAGGTTGGTTCCACAGTTAAGCTATTGTGAATTGTGCTGCTATAAACATCAATGTGGCTGTGTCCCTGTAGTATGCTGTTTTTAAGTCCTTTGGGTATAGACCAAGGAGTGGGATGGCTGGGTCAAATGGTGGTTCCATTCCCAGGTTTCCACGGAATCTCCATACTGTTTTCAATATTGGCTGCACCAATTTGCAGTCCCACCAGCAATGTATGAATGTGCCTTTTCCCCACATCCTCGCCAACACTTATTGTTGTTTGCGTTCTTAATAACTGCCATTCTGAATGGAGTAAGATGAAATCTTAAGAGTAGTTTTGATTTGCATTTCTCTAGTTGCTAGAGATGTTGAACATTTTTTTTATATATTTGTTGATTGATTATATATATCTTCTGAGAGGTGCCTGTTCAGTTCCTTGGACCATTTATTGATTGGGCTATTTGCTTTTTTGGTGTTTAGCTTTTTGAGTTCTTTATATACCCTAGAGATTAGTGCTCTATCTGATATGTGAGTGGTAAAAATTTGCTCCCAAGATGTAGGCTCTCGATTAGCCTCACTGATTGTTTCCTTTGCTGAGAAGAAGCTTTTTAGTTTGAATCTGTCATATATAATAAATTAGAATAAAAACTAAAAAAAATTTTAAAAAAGAAAGGTACAAGTAAAAAAAAAAAAAGAAAAGCATACCAAATCGAAAAAAATATTATTACATAAACAGATAAGGTAACAATCATTTGTGATTAAAAATAAAAGCATACATAGTTAATTTAAGGAAATAAAAAATCTTATGATGCATTTTATGCTTTATTTTCTACTGTTGGATCTAATAAAAATATGGGAATGACTTTTGGTAGTATGTCCAATATCTAATATCTATGCATCATTTATTTTGAAGAATGTATATTCATAATAAATAATAAAAACATAGTTGATGATAGTTCCATGAGAAAAAAACTATGACATAAATAATATAAAACATTATTTTATTATTAAAAATTTTATATATCATCTCAAGGGGAGATTTAATAAATAAAACAAATGAAAATGAGTATATGAAGCATTCTTCTTTTAGTTAGTGCTTTGCTGGCTTTTGTTTAACTGATATTATATTATAGAAAATGTATTCAGAGCTGAATCTCATAACCAACGATTCTCATTTTGCCCCTTTTCTAAAGTGATGACTATTCTTGCATCTTAGTATTCCTGAAGAGATTAATAATTTATTATATTTTATCCATTTCTAGTATTTAGTTTCAGTTAACAGTATGCTTTAGGTGTTAAGTTATTAAGAAAATGATTGATTTTTTTATCATGCCTTGGTGCTATTCTATTTCAGGAATAATTTCTCAAAAATATCTTATAATTTCACCCATGTAACAGAAATTTTAATGAGAAAACAAATCAGCATACATACTGTTTATAAACTGAAATGATAAAAGATCTTTGGTGTTATGATCAAGTGTCTAATGAACCAATAAAGAAAGTGTCTAACCACTATAAAGTGATGTATTACAAAAATTTATGCAAACATATAATTAATGATGAGTCATGATTATTGAGTTAATTAGACTATTAGTAAATGTATCATTATTACTAGAAAAATGGAAACTTGCCATTCATTTCATAGGTGCTTATAGACACGGAGACACTAAATTTACCTGGAAAATGGTATGGGGGGTCACAGAGAAGTACCATTCCTTTTCCTTCCTTCACTCTGACCTCAGGGCGTTCCTCAGGTGGGAAAGGATCCAGATCTAATTATAAACAAGGAAAAGGAAATCATTCACTTTCTGGTCAAGAGAAAGGGAGATATTCATTAAATATTACCTTTCTGTAACTAACTGTCACTTGAGATACAATGCTCCTCATTTGCACATGCCAGGATTTACACACACCACCTAAGAGTTCTGTCATGAGTGCAGAACCTATGGATAACTGTAGCAGCCTTTGTAAGAATTCTGACAACTCTGAAGATCATAAATACTAACTTTTGTTTCAGATTTAAGGAAAATCTCAGTAAGGAAATAAAATGAGACAGGGCAAATCAGAGATCTAACTAAGAAAGTAAGTAAAGAGGCATGCTTAGAGGAATGGACTCATTTGAAGGTTTATATTTCTCTACCAGAAGGAAGATTTAGATATTGAAAAGAATGAGAATAACAGGCAGGCTATTCACTGAGAAGGTGAATGTGACCAATTGCTTGCTCCTTTTCAAATTCTGGGTTGTCTAAATTGTAATTTCCTTTACTCTTTCCTATGTATTTGGAGTTCTTGTTTTCCTTTATTCATAGATCCTGAGCCCTTTAATTCTTCATTTGTTTTGCTGATACTCATTCTGTTTCAGTCCTGCCTGTCCTTCTGGTCCTCATCTATGATATGCCCCCAAATTATAACTTTTACTTCCCTTACTATATTACCTATTTCTGAAAATCCATGTATTCTGATTTTATCTTTATACAAAGAAATAGTCACTTTGACATCTCCAGTCCTGATGTCTCACTTGAATGCCATCCCTATCTTCAATTGCTTACTTGACATCTCGATTTGGGTAACTTCATATTATAACAAACTCTGCATATGAAACAACCATCCAATGCTTACTCTAATCTCTGAAAGTGAGGTTTTCTTTCTCCCATTCCATTTTTTTAAAAGCACAGAATGCATCTGCCCTTTCACTGAACTTTTCTTAAAAAAATATTTAATGTCTTCTTTCCTTCAGTGCACTGTAACCTGTTAATTATTTATCAAGATTAGTATTTATTATTTCCATTTCTCTTTCATCACACTAATTTAATTTTACTGTTCTTTGTGATCCTGTCTGAATCCCTTCTGGTGGTCACTGCCATGCAGTATTTCTTAACATACTATTCTTATCTTATAACCATTTTGCAAAAGATATAAGTGCTAGCTTATAAAATCAAAGTGGATATCATCTGGTTAAATTCATCTCCTAATGTACAACGAAAACAACCTCTAACTTTAGTTTAACACAGTATTTCTCAAAATATTTTTAATTATTGGCTTTCTCAAGGTGAAAACTTTTATTTAATTTAAGCTTAAAATAATAATATTAATTAAAATAGAATGATAATCATTTCTATAAGGAGAATTTAAATGTTGAGGAATAAGATATTGTCGGGTAGGGCTGAGCATTGGATAGCCACAAACCATAATATTGTAATGCCTAAGACATTTCCTATTCCTAAGAACCAGTTTGTACTCCCTTGGAGGTACTAATGCATGGCTTAGCACTTCCAGTGATACTAATTTTTCGAGATATGTAAGAGCCTTCAGAATATGGCCTCAGTTTATTTTACAAAATTATCTTTCACAATCTTAAGTACACTTAAAACACCCTGTGTGATTATTTGAACTCCTGAATTTTTTTCTTCACCACACAATTAAACTCCATTCATCATAAAAGACCCACCTTTTCTGTGTTGACTTCCTTCCGCTATATTTTCTTCTTGATTCGCTTCTTGCTGAATTCTTAAGGTATCATTTATTGATAACTACCTCAAAGGTCACATTAGAATTTCTGCATTTCAATTGAAAAATTTTAAACATGTCTGACCTGTGTCACCAACTACATACTGCCAATCTGTGTGGGTGGTGGAAACGTGTCTTCTCCAATAACCCACTGGCAAGCATTCAGTACTGATGTTGCAATGGTGATGCAAGAGACCGATTTTACTGGGAGAAGCAAGTAGAAGGATTTTAACAGGATAAAAGAAGCCCAAAGAGTTGATCATCACAGAATTAGCCCTCCAGTCTATATAGATTTTGATCAATAATTAAAACACATGTAATTCTCACTTCATCAAGTAAAACTCCTTTTTAAAGTTACAACTACTTACACCCAAAACTCAGGATTGCTTCAGTGCTTCTGACCATCCCATAGTTATTTGATGCCAAACAGTAGTACGTTCCAGCATCTTTCTGTTTGTCGGGGTTGTTGATGACAAGGTTTCCTCCCACCATACTGTATCGGTCACTTGTCAGGTCAACATCTCCGTTATTCATTCTCCATCTGTGAGAAAAGATATTCATGTCAGATCAAAGGTAAGAAGCCCTGGAAACTCTACTGGGCTAACATTGTTCTAAAATGACTTGAGTACAGCTACATGTGAAGTCAGATGATTAAGTATGTGACTTGTGGTGGTAATTCTTCATACTCTATAATTGAGTATCTAGGTTCATGATATATAATTTAGCTCAGATACAAAAAAGTAAATATTAAATTAAATGACATATTTCCTCTTTTTTAAAAATAAGACATACCAAATAACAAATATTTTGTTGAGTTTTACTCCATAAATTGATTTCTTAGCAGATATACAGAGTATATCTGAGTATAGATGATAGCAATTAATGTACAAGATTCATATATGCATGTTCTTTGAAATATTAAAACATCGATCTAGCAGAAATTAAACAAAATGTATCAATATCTGATTTTTAAACAGCAAACATTTTTCAGTGAAATAAACTCATTAAAATTCTGCTTAGTAAATGGTATATTCTGACCACTAGAGGGTGATCATACAGTTTGAAAATTATGATTCCACTGGGTCTTTTAACTCAAAGCCACAAATAAATTAGTTAAATCAGATTTCCTCAGCCTAGAGTGAGTGGTCACTTGTGCCTTTTCTCATTATTTAAGTATTATTTTTGTCAAAGAGGTTTTTTTAAAACCTGTTTTATAATCTTATAATTGGTGGGAATTGTCATAAATAAATTTACTAGAAACAGGGATCTAATTTTCTTGGTGAGGTCTGAGAAAACTGCAATAAAATATAATTAGGATTACCACCTCAAAATTTCATAATCAATTTGTATGAGCATTTATCCATTAAGGTTTCATGTCCTCACGAAGGTCAAAATACAAGAGCCCTGGTCAAATAATTTAAATAGTAGAGCCTGTGGACACATCATTCATTGATGGCATATTTCTGATAAGCAAGAATCATGCCAAAACAGCCTTATGATTTTAGAACATCTTTTTTTACTAAATTAAATGTACTAGAACATATTCAGTTATAATCTTTATAGTATAGGAGGTAATTTAAGAAACAAGCATAGAAAGCAATGCTTTTGCATTTTGAAAACCTACACAATTCCAACCCAAGGAATAAATGTGCCCCCTTCCTTCAGTTGATGGTAATATTGTCTCTACTCCAACCACGCAGTGCTGTTGCTTAGATTTTTCAAGGCAGTGAGTTTCCTTGTTGGACAGCTGCGACTATTGTGATTTCTCCTTCATTATATGGGCTCCACATTTCTGTTTATGGTCTTGGCTTCCTCCCTAGGGATCTGATTCTGCCAGTGATACAACCATTAAATTCTGCTGTTTGGGTAAGTTCACTGGTCTATTTTCAGAAACACACACTATTGTTGCAATTCCTTTCGTACTGCTTTAAATACAGCTTTTACTGTAGTGCTTGTTGCTTTAGGGGTAGGAGGGATATAATGGAGGCCTCAAGGCTAAAAAGTGGGAGATAAAGTTCCCTGTTGTAACTTTTCCCTCTCAGGATGTTGCCATGAATAACATATTATCATGGAACATGCTACAAATATAAAACTACTATGTGAATGACAGATTGCCTGATTACCAAGGTTAGTATGGCTTGATGAGAATACTAAGTGAATTTAAGAACTGCAAGTTGTTCTTTTCCATGAGACTAATTGCATCATATATTTTTCTTTTTCTCTTTCGCTTCATTGCTTCTTTATTGATTTGTTTTTATGTTTTGTGGTTAAACGCGGACTGTCTTCACAAATAGCATTAAACATCTACCTGGCTGCTCCAGCTACATTCATAAAGATCAAGGCAACCTGGGTTTCAGTGCAGGGGCAGCTTACAGGAGGGAGGTGGTGATAGTGAGGGGCACAGGGCACAGCAAGATACATAACAAGAAACATAACCCTGCCCGTGTTGTGTTTCTAGAACACTGAGAACAGCCCTTCTATCTTGTTGACTCCATTCTAGTCTGGAAGTTGATTTGACAAGTTTTCTTGTAAGAATGTCCAGGAAAGAGTGTCACAGAATAAGCATAATTGAAATAGCTTTTAAGATTCTATCAATTTATCTAAATAGATAAATACTAAAAAAATTATAGGCTTCTTTGGAAGTCATAAAACTTGTGTTTTCATCCTGGATCTGTGGTTTCCTAACTCAAAACCAAGTCAATGTACTTACAGAGGATTTAGCTTCTTTTCCTGTAAAATAGTCTTGGGTTTGATCTCCTCTACAGTTCCTACTAACTATACTAGTCCATGACCAGGACTATGTGCAATGTGCATAGACTTCCCTTATATATAGCTTAAGGGTAGCAATAAGTCTATCGCATCAACTATTTTACAACAAATTGTATTTATATTGTACTCCCATGCATGAAATTGAAACAATAAAAATAATTTCAAAGGTATAGTGATTTTATGTCTAAATTCATATTTTAAGAATAATTTTGTAATTATAGCCAGTGGCAAGAAAAAAATGAGTTCAATTAGAATTAAATGAGGGAAAGGGGATATTTTCTTTGATATTAACTTTTTATAACAATAGAAAATTATTTTTCTATCCAGGAATAAGAGTCTACTATTAAAATTAGGGTTGTTGAGTGACAACCTTCAATTAAGTTGGTTGATATTAACCCAGTTCAGCCCCTAATTTTCCCATCAGTCACCTGCTTTATCTTCATGGAATCATTTCAAGTGAAATTCAAATTCATTAGTATCTAGTTAATTTTTGAATCTTATTATTTGCATCAGACTAGAAACTGTTAGCATTTTTCTCTGAACTACTTAAAGCAGGAAAATCCACTGTAACTTTTTTTAAAGTTATTTTTAATATCATAAATATGTAACTCAGAAAAACTAAAAGGATACATCTAAATAGATTGTCTAATAGGTAAGATTATTTAAGAAATTAGTTCTGTTATCTGGAATATAGACTTGAGAGTATTGAAAAAGTAAGGCTTTCTAGAATTATCTATGCAAGCTTTATAAATTTAGTTAACGTAGAAATATTATCCATCATTTAAAGTTATGACTTTTTAAGGACAATGAGACACATTACTTGTAAACTGGAAAAGGGCTGGCTCGTGCCCTACAGTTTAGTGAAACTTTTCCTTCCAGTGATTCTTCTGGATAAATGGTATTGATTGGTTGCTCCTCAAAAATTGGTCCAAATCCTTTGTCCTCCTCAGAAACTGTGAGAAAAATAAAATTATTTTATATGTCAAGGAAAATCTGGATATACTGAAAAATGTTATTTAAAAAAATGTCAGAAACACAATCTCCATTTTAATTCAAAACAAAGATATTACCTCCATGATTATGATTAAAACATTCATTTCTGTATTCAAAATTTTCTCCTATCCATCCCGCATCATTTTCCTAAAAGTACACGATGATTTCATGCTTAACTACTTCCAGTTCCTCATGCCATGCTTTCATGCCCTGGGCCTTTACATATGCTTTGCCTCTTTCTAGAATCACCACTACACTCTTCTGCTAAAATTTATATGGTCCTTTGTAATCTGATCATGAAGTTAGTTCCTTCAGGAAGCTATCTTCAGTAAGGGTACATAGCATACCCAACGTAATTCTTAAAGGCAACTTTCCATCCCATTAGATGGTCAGTGCTTGGTGGCTATGTCTTTAATCTCCATATACCACATAGGTGGCTATGTCTTTAATCTCTGTACACCAGTTTCCTAGCTTGGTGTGTGTCTGCATGGAATACAGAGGTGCTTTAAAAGTTTGTTACAAGAGAACAAATAAATTTCTAGAAGCTCTAGGTAATTAGTCTCTTTTCTATTCCCTATTTATATATTTCCTAAACATGTGACCATCACTGGTACTCAGCAACATTTAGAACAACTCAGAAACAAATCACTTGAGTACAAGGTCTGACCAACTGGTTTGAAATTCATCACAACATCAATATTGTGAAGAAAGTGTTCCCAGCACTCTGTCCTCTCTGGAAGGAAAGGTAACAATGCACAGCAGGACGAGGAGAAGGGGCTCACATGTCACCATTGTTGCAGCATTGGCACTGCACAGCTCAAGGCCCTATTGATCTGATCAGTACATACTGATCTATGTGGCTAGAAAGGGGGAATATTCTTATATAGGGTTACTGAAATGTCTCTTCTAGTTCAAAGCCATAGTTTATTCCTCCAGTTTATTTTTTAAGAGAGTTTAAGGCAAATGCCATGCTGGCTTTTTATCTTCTCTAACATCAACCTTGAAGAGATATGTTCCAACTTACTTTAACATACGGTTTATTTATGTCACTTAATTTTTGTCACATACCATATATCCATGTGCCATTGGAAAAATTATTTAATCTCTCTAAGTCTCAATATCACCTTTATAAAAGAGGAATCATGAAGTCTATCTCATAGGATTATTATCACAATTATTTTGAGACATGCATGGAAGACAGTAGTGTACCTACCTGGCACATCATTAGTACTTTGGATAATAATAATCAAAGGACTTAAAAAAACAGCATACTACAGGAACATCAGCCACATCAATGTTTATAGCAGCACAATTCACAATAGCTAAACTGTGGAACCAACCTAGATGCCCTTCAATAGATGAATGGATTTTAAAAAAGTGTGGCATATATACACAATGGAATATTACTCAGCAATAAAAGAGAATAAAATCATGGCATTTACAAGATCATCAATTTTAAGAAGAAATGGATGTGTGGTGTGGTTTTGCCTATAATGTACACCTAAGATCACTGACCTGCACTGGAATAGATCTCGAATTTCTGCTACCTGCAACAATGCTAGAATAAGGATTTCAGATGGTTGCCTTAGGAACTAGTTTTATGAACTTCAGGTTAGTGTCCTTAGTCCAGTTGATGATCTAGTCTTGGGTACAGCAATGAGTTTTAGACACAATGCCAAGAGCATAATCCATGAAAGAAAAAAGTTGGATAGGTTGGATATTACTGAAAATCAAAACTTCAGCTCTGTGAAAGCCACTGTTAAGAGAATCTCAGGTCTTTGGTGTCAGATGATTTTCCCTTTTTTTTTTTTTTTTTTTTTGACTTTCTCAAAGTTACATTCTACAAGCAACAAATTGGAGAAACTTTTATCTAACTGAATATCTTATTTAATAATGGAGAATATAGTAGTGATTGTATAAGACTTCATAAAATTTAAACTAGAAAGAAATGGATGTGTGATGAAATTATGCAAGTAATGTAAACAGAAGACCACTGATCTGTAGGAGAGCAAGAAACAGAGATTATGTCTAAAACAGAAGCTAAAATTATTTTAAAATATACTCCCCTTTCCTACTGGATAGATGATCCTAAAGAGAAGCATCAACTTCTCAAGCTAATTAAGGATTTTAACACTTTAAGTGACTTTTTCTTTTGAAGTATTCTTCATGTGGACTCATTGATTTTCTAACATGGGACTGTCATAAGTCTATAGTGAAGTATCTTTCTTAAATTTTATCAAATATTAAAAAGAAAATAATAATTTATGCATTTTTGCAGAAAATTTACAAGTGTGAGTAATAGGCAAGTGCTTTTTCTTTGGTGCAATTTTCAGTCTCAAAATTAATGTAATCAGTCAATTGTAGGATCAAAAATATGACTGCTTCATTTCTCACTATGTGGAGATCGTCCTCTATAATCCTGTTATTCCACTTTATTTCTGGAGATTGAAAGTAAAATAAAATTTGTGCTGGAGAGTTATTTTTATTCACTTCATGCCTACTCTGAAACAAATTTCAATTCTCATTCTGAAATATGTCACCTCAATCTGTTAGTTATTAAACATAATTTTACATAAGTATGTTGTAAGAAGAGTCTCAGAAAAATCTATTAGAAAAAAAAGCAACGGCATAAAAATTGAAGAGAATCTAATATTGGAATTTTTACAATATTTACAATATCACAATCATTATAGGGTGGGGCACAAGCTCTCTTGAAATACAATAACCTCTCTAAATTAGGGAATATTTAAGTTGTCTCAAAGCATACTTATATATAGTACAGATCCTTGTCTTCATTGCTAACCATTCCCTACTTATAAAAGAATAAAGATGTTTTATGTATAGAACTTGGCTTTGAAAACTTTGGTGCACAGTCTTTTAATGTCATGATTAATAGGTAATCCTGCGATAGTTTATCATAAACAAAAATGCAAACTGTGCAAAAATACAGTTTGAAATTCAGAATGATAACTAGGGTCAGGTTAAGAGAAAGTTTAAGTGGACTAAATTCTCTTTTGCTTGGCTTTACCTGCCCCAGCAGAGCCTATTACATTTCAATAGCCACTTCTTGGATCAATGTCCATTTCTGAAATATATAGACTTTTTGTGATTTATACAACTGGTTTGGCATCTTCCCACAGCTACCTAAGATCTGCCTTCATCCTCAGATGTAGCATGTGACAGATGATGCACCTTCTTCAAGAAACCAGACTATCTCAGGCTATTCCTAGTCTAGTTTTTATCTTTTTGGTGAGGTATTTCAGAAATGGACATTGGTCCAGGAAGTGGCAATTGAGATGTGATAGGATTTGCTTGGGCAGGTAAAGCCAAGCAAAGGAGAATTTAGTCCATTTAAACTTCTGTTAACCTGACCCTAGTTGTCAATCTGAATTTCAAACTGTACTTTTGCACAGTTTGCATATTTGTTTGTGATAAACTACTGCAGTATTACCTATTACTCATGACTCTAAAAGACTGTGTACCAAAGTTTTCAAATAAAATAAAATGAAAAAATACAAAATGGGGCTGGGGATGTAGTTCAGTAGGCGACAGGGTCTCACTTAGTTACTTACAGCCTCACTTTTCCTGAGGTTAGCTTTGACCTCACAATCCTTCTGTCTCAACCTCCTAAACTGCTGGGATTACAGGCATGTTCCACCACACTTGGTCTCCTAGTCTATATTGATAAATGGAGCTATGAGTGACCTATCACAAATATAAAATAGTGATAATCACTGTAAAATATCACTCATATAAAAATGTACCAAAAACAATGCTATAATAACCATTGTAAGTCTAAATGAAACAATATCCAGGAAATTTGGGTGCAAATGCTATAAAGACATGGGAAATTCCCTGTCTGCCCTCCCTCCAACAAAGACATAAAAAGAATTTTTTAAATATTAGCTTTGTATATGATAGATTTCTAAAATCAAGGTGCAAAGTATAAATTATAGATTATTTCACATGCTAATTCTTATGAAATAAATACTACTGTTTTATTTCTTTACACTTTTTGTCACTGAATTATAAAAGAAACTTAAAAATGTTTATTTTTATTTTTTGGTTAGTCTCGATGAAAGTTGGTCCTGAAATAGCTGCAGGTTGGTTTTTATTTCTTTCTGATAGAAAGGTAAATGCAAATGACAAATGAAAAAGGATCTAAAATAAGCAGTTACTTTCAAATGATATTATTAGTAGTAGTATGTACATGTGTGTGTTAGTCAGTTTTTTGTGACTGTAGCCAAAATTCCTGACAAGAACAATGTAGAGGAGGAGAAGTTTATTTGGGTTTTCATGGTTTCAAAGGTTCAGTCCATGGTCAGTTAAATCCATTGCTCTGGGCCTGAGTGAGCAAGAGCATCATGGCAGAAGGGTGTGGCAGAAGAAAACTGCTCAGCTCATAGAGCCTACAAGCAAAGCGAGGCACCAAAATATAAACCCTGAAGGCATGACCCCAGTGAATCACTGTTTCCAGCCATGCCTCCCTGCCTACTCTTATTACCCACTAAATTCATTTAAATTATTAATCCATCAAATGGATTGATGCACTGATTATATTTCAGATCTCATAATGTAACCATAAGCTTTTGGGGGACATCTCATATCAAAACCATAATTGTGTGTGAGTGTTTGTGTGTGTGTGCATGTGTATATGTAAAAGAGAAAGCAAGCAAGAGAAGGAGAACAGAGATACTGGAGATTGAACCTAGGGTCACTCTACCCAGCCCTTTTTGTAAATTGTGAGATAGGGTCTTGCTAAGTTGCCCAGGCTGACCTGGAATTTGGCAATCCTCCTGCCTCAGCCTCCCAAGTAGCTGGGATTACACATGTGCATCACCTCACACATCTCAAATGATTTAAATATCTGAGCATTACAAGTTGGCTTTATGCAACTTGATTGTATTCATTCTCTTATTCTCTTGGTTATATTCATTTATTCCACTCAATATGTTCATTCATCGCATTTTTGCAAAACATTAAAACTTTAAAAAAAACAATTAAAGACATGAAGAATAATGAAGTTGGTTCTGATGGTTTTATTATATGTCATGAATTTAAATTTTAGCATAGATGAGTTTTGGGTATTAAAAAACATTTTTAAAAATTGGGGCAGTTAGCATTCTTAGTGCCTATCAGCTAGTGGTTAAATTATCTTAGGAACATCTGAACACTTTATAATTTTTTTCTTCAGAGATTCACAATACTTTTTATTAGGGCAATGCTATAGGTTGAATTATATTTCCCCTTCTTCCTCTAAAAATTATATGTCCTAACTCCCGGTTATCCAAATACAATCTTATTTGGAAATAGGGTCTTTACAGAGGGAATCAAGTTTAAATGGGGTCATTAGGTAAACCCTGATTCAATAAGTCCAGTACCCTAATGAAAGAGGAAACTTAGATGCAGAGATGGAGGTTCACCCCGGGAAGATTATGTGAGGAGATGGAGGGGTAACATCCTGTGAAGTTTGAGGCAGACATTGGAATTTTGCTCCCAAAAGCAAAGGGCTACCAGAAGCTGGAAGAGACAAGGAAGGAAATGTTCTCTTTAGGTGCCAGAGGGAACATGGCCCTCTGACACCTTGATTATGAGCACCTCCAGGACTTTGAGACAATAAGTTTCTGTTCTTGGTCATCTAATTTGTGGAATATACTTATGACAGCCCTAAAAAACTAATATATATTATTTTTAGTATATAAGTAGTATAACATTATTTAAAATTAATAATACATGATTAAACTTTAATTTACAGTTTTTCCTCAAATTTATTCGACAATAAAGTCCTTTTTAATGAAACTTCTACAAACATTCCACAGAACACTATAGGTATAGTTGTTTTTTTTAAATACTCTTAACTTTTATCTGTATTTTGTTTTCTATTTAGATTTAATTCTACTTCTTACATTTAAAATACTTCAAGCTTTTCTTACTTAGCCTCTTTGTCATTAAATATCTTTTTTACTTATTCTAATTTATTATATATGACAGCAGAATGCATTACAATTCATATTACACATAAAGAACACAATTTTTCATATCTCTGGTTGTACACAAAGCAGAGTTACACCATTCCATTCGTGTCTTCATACATGTACTGAGGTTCATGATGTCCATCTCATTCCAACATCTTTCCTACTCCCATGCCCCCTCCTTTCCCCTCCCACCCTTTGTCCTATCTAGTGTTCATTTAATCCTCTAATGACCCCCTGCCCCCAACCCCATCATGAATCAACATCCTTATATCAGAGATAATATTTGACATTTGTTTTTTTGGGATTAGCTAACTTCACTTAGCATTATATTTTCCAACTCCATCGATTTACCTGAAAATGCCATGATTTTATTCTCTTTTAATGCTGAATAATATTCCATTGTATATATATATGCCACATTTTTTTTATGCATTCATCTACTGAAGGGCATCTAGGTTGCTTCCACAGTTTAGCTATTGTGAATTGTGCTGGTATAAACATTGATGTGACTGTGTCCCTCTAGTATGCTATTTTTAAGCCCTTTGGTTAGTAGATATATCTTAAGTATATCATAATTCTACAAATTTTCCTTTTAAAACATTGATCACACTTTTTCTTATAAAACAGTATCTTATTTCCGACTATATGATAACAGTCTTAAGTCAAGGAACATATCAAACTCATCCTTATACAGCCTACATGTAATGATTACCAACTGACAAGATATGAACAGAAATGGCTTTGATGGAATTTGGACCAAGAATTTCTTGTCCTTTTATACCACACATGGAAGTTCTTTTCCTTCAAACTGGCATGGAATTCTTGATTTGGCATGCATGTTGTAGCACTGGTTGCTGAGATTCTTTCTGATTTTTCAATCTCCTATCATCACATAATGGCTTTTTTAAGTTATCAGCTTAAATGTGTTCATTAAGCACATATCATGCCAGTCACTATGCTACAAGCTATCACTGCAAAATTTTTTTCAGTACTAACAACAATTCTGATTTTTACATGGTGGAAAATTGAGGTGAATGAAAGTAAAATAATTTACACCAAAAAATTCAGAAGATCAGCTAGTGAGTACTAGGCTGCAAAGCCAGGTTGGTCTTATTCTAGACTCTGAATTTTTTTTCGTAGTATACCATGCTGCCTCTATTTCTGCAAGAACTGTTAAAAAGTCAAAGTAGAATCCAAAGTAGCAGGATTGTCTTTTGTTCAATACATCTTGAACAATAAATTTTGCAACATCTCTAGGTTCCTAAGTAAACCATATCTTAAGTTTCCAACTTCACCAACTTTCATTTTCTCTCTTGTAGCAATGCAAGCAGTTTTCAAAAATAAGTAAGACAGCTACTATATTTAAAGTATTGCTTCAAATTGCAGTAGCATAGCATTGTCACAAAGCATGTAGGGAAAGAATACAGGCCACATTGGATATTTCCCATCTGCCACAATCCTATTTGTGATTTAATCACTTTGCCAATTGAACAAGTTGCCTTATTATCTCATAAAAACCATCATAAAAGTTTCCTAAGTTATTAAAATTTTAAAAAATTGCTTTCAAGTTTAGAGAGGTAATAACACAAAGCAGAAATAAAATGTGATTCAAGTGAGAAAAGCTATTAAAAGGGTTTTCCCTTTCATCAACTTACCTCCATGACCATACCTTCTGTGCCATGTAAACTCTAAAACAAAAAGAAAAAACAATTTTGACCTAAAGCAATTCTTTGAGTTGTGGTTTCAAACATTATTCAAATAACTGAGATGCTAGTTAATGACATTGAAGAATCAGTCTTTCACCTTTAGCGTAGAAGTATCTCTACATCAATACAGATGTTTTATTCTTATCCTTACATTTATAGTTGCAGCAAAGTTTTAATCAATAAAATTAATATAAATTTTTGGTCCTAACAAGATAATTTTTATTTCACCCATATAAATAAGACTTTGAAATAATAACATTTCCAATTTTTCTGGATTGTATTTATATTACATATGTGTATGCATATTATATATGCAATTATTTGTGTGCATGTGTGTATAATTATTATAGCTATAAAAATACATAGTTATCAATGTCATTAAAATTCTTAAGTAATAATAAAACTCTTTTTTTGGATTATGGAGTCAGCATAATAAAAATTACCACCCAAAATAAAATACCATTTTTATTTTCTTAAAAATATGTTAAGAATAGGATAGAATGTTTCTCAGTTTTATCATTCAAGCAATCAGTAAAGGTTGATGTAAAAGGAAGAGACAGCAATGTCTTGAACTTCAGCAACTCAATGAGTCTGTGCTGAGTTAAGGTCATTGAGATGAAGGTATCAGAAAGACTGATTGTTAGAAAATACTACTTTCAGATACAAATATGATGCATCTTTCCTTGAAGGAAATATCTCTGAGTGGTTCATATTTGTCTTCAAATGACAGACCTATAATATTTGTCCTAAAAATTGGAACACTCTCACAACTATTTTGGTATTGTGAATGTGCCTACATACATTGTAAATTATTTTCAACATTATTTACCTATGATTAACTAAAGTAGACAAATATATGTACAATTCAATATTGTGTTGGACCCACTCATAATCACTCTCAAGAAGTGACTATTAATTTACAGAAACTTTATGAATCATTTGTTAAACACATAATCAACATTTATATTATTATTAAATTACAAATAAATAAATTATATTTAAAAAGGGAACACATGTTTAAAATCATTACTTTAAAAATATTTTAACTGCATTTCACTGTTGAATTTATTTAAGTATATCACTATCTGGATGGTGAAAATAATCATTTAATAATGAACTAGACACATCATTTCCAAATTAAATGACAATAAGTTGAAACTGACCATCCTGAGAAGATTTACTCTCAGGAATAGACAAATGCTTCATGCCAGGAATCCCTCCCCTTAGATATTCAAATTTTAAACAGTTACCATCACAATACCACATGAGGTAACAAAATCCTATCAATTTTAATTGAAAGTAAAATTTTTAAAAAATAGGGCTAACCCTAACATTAAATTTATTTACTTATATGAACCAGAAGTCAAAAGAAAACATTAATTTTATCTTCATACAAGCAATTTAGTGAAATGCAAAACATATGGATTATGTGGGCATAAATTATGGAAAATATACAAAGGATATTCTTACCTGCTAGACAGGTTGTAAAAGAGATTATCATCAGATGACTGACCAGCAACCACATTTTCATCTTGTGTTTAATAGAAATTCGTTCAATTTTCCAAAAAAATAAAAAGAAAATAAAAAGCTTTAGCTGTTTGGCAGTTGGGTAGTATTAAACACCTGCATGAAGAAAGGAGAAAAGAAATGGAAGGAGGGGAGGGGAAATGTAGGGGCAGGATTAGGAAGAAAGGAAAGAAGGAAAAATATTTATCATTTGGGGCCAACAACATTGTTAATTCTATTTTATTTTGTACTTCTTGTTTGTAGAATAATTTTTAGCTTATTTAAATACATCTGTAGACACTGTTGTAATGAAAAGAGTAGATTCAATATCACAGGGCTGACATCCAGTACCCACCCTGGGCATAAGCAAGTCACTTAACAGGTGTGTGTTCGAGTTTCTTTGAAACACTGAGTATAATAATCCTTTCAACAAATAGTACAATTGTCAACATTCCAATATCTATCATTTTTACTGAAAATTAAATTTAATTGAAGTGCTGATAGAAAGATTCATTTAAAGATGTATTTGTACTAAAGCTTTGTAAACACATAGGTATCATACAGGGTGATATGTTAGTACTACCTGTTGGTGGTTTGTGAAGAATTTTTGCGACAGTGCTGATTTTTAATACAAAACATAATTAAGAATGTATTCATTCTTCCTTCTAACTTTCACTTTCATTCATTCATTCAACAATTAGTAAATTACTCAGGTATGTCAGCAAAGACAAATCTAGTTCAACAATCAGATCTCTAAAAGTTAGGGAGACCTCTTTAAAGACAAGGAGACAAACTTACTAATGTAAACTAAGCTATAAAACTATGCAACTGTCTAATTAAAATATCTTGCTCTTACAAATTTTGCAAAAATCAATGAGCATGACTTAATGTCTTTTCAAATTGAAACTCTTATTGGCTCCTACTGTTGAGATTTCACCCAGGGCCTTGGAATATCTTATGGAAATGAGGGGCCCCACAATTTAAGTTTTGTTAGCTGCATCTGTGACTAAGCATACAGATAAGATGTGAATCAAGAGAAAGGCAGAGTTTCTTGGTCTGAAGAAGTTCCTAGGTCAGTGGAAATAGAGATAGATACACAAGTCAGTATAATGAGATAATTATTTGGACTTGCATGCTATTAAATTTGAAAAATAATGTTAATCATTTTAATTGAAATCATTGTAAAGTACAGCACTATGAACATGTGCCCAAGTGTGGCAGGCAGGACATGAAAGTGGAGATGCTGTACTCTAAGATTTAAGTCATTCAATTACTTTGTAAACCCATTTATTCCTGAGACTCCTTGAGAACAATACATCACCAGGCCATTAAGACCTCTTCAGTAGGAGCCAACAAGAGTTTCAATTTGAAAAGACATTAAATCATGTTTCAAGTGTTTTAAAATAGAATGACGGAAATCTCATGTCCTAGAAAAGAGTAGAAAACATCAGGTAATATGCAGCAAGAAATAATTCTAAAAAAATAACTTAATCATGTAGTATTCAACATAGAAATATACTTGAGTATTATCCAAAAAAGCAAAAACAAAATTTTACTGATTGCTCATATTTCACTAACATGCTGAAGAGAAATATTGGCTCCAGTTAACTTAGTTATGATGGATTTTGAGAACCTTGATTTTCAAGAATTCTAACACTTTGCAAATGTTTACTGGCAGCACATGAGTCAGGATAAAATAATTTATTACATTCAGTATACTGAAATTATTATTAACCTCCAATTATTAATCTATTTATATAAAAATTTGAATTGGTATCTTAAAGAACACAATGGACATGGGTCAAATTTAAGCAGAAAATATTTAGAATATGAAAGCAGAAAAAGTACCCCACAGATAATTTTTAATTGTTGATATTAATTTATGACCAATTTATTTCTCTTAGAGAGTCTGAGAAGATATGAACTATACATCTGTATAGACAATATAAAATCTAGAATTTTTATTTTAGTTTTCTTTTACTAAGCAGGACTGACCAGAAAGAAAAATAAATAGTATAAGAAAGATGAAGAATGAAGAACAAATCTTTTGGGTACAGGAGAATCAATGAAATGACCTGTGGAAGGGTTAGCTTTTTATTTCAATGAAGCAGGGTATAATTTGTATCTAAATATAGATCTAGAGGAGAATAATTAGAATGTGTGCAGATTGGCTGTGTCTTTCTAAGCTTTCTCAGACACACACAAATGTGCCCTTGAGCATTTTCTTGGTCCTTTGGTTTCTAACTCTTCCCGTTAGGTTATGCACAATAATGAGGATAACCTCCTTTCATGAAAAGAAAGGTAGAAAACACAAATAGTAACTTGTGTAAAAACTGTTGTCTTTATCAATTAAAAAAAAAAAGTTGACTTGGACAACATATTGCAAAAAGTTACAAATCACAAAGCATGTACAGCTTAATGGCACCAACAGTGATTACTGGGTTTTAAAAGTTCTAATTTATTTACTATTATACTATTTATTATCATTTAAAACTCTAAATGACTCTCACAGATATTCAAATTTAAGAGCAAGGGATCCTGTCACAGTTTGGGTATTGAGTGAAAAGGAAGTGCCAGTGACCAGAGAGAAAAGGAAATAGAGGTGAAGAATGAAGTTCTAGTCCTCTGAATGTGTCCTTGAGAGTTTTCGTTCTGATGGTCTGTGGCAGGGAGATTTACTCATTAATTTTATAGATAGTCTAAAAAAGTGGAGCAAGTCTTAAGAAAGATTGGTTGTGCTCACACAGAGCAAGTGATTTTAGGAAACTGAAAACAAAATACAGACCATTTCTTTTTAGGTCTAGCATGTTATTTAACACTTCATTCTCATAACAATCACAGTATGGGGGAACTTGTGCCATAAATAGTAAAAATAATCCAAGAGAAAGCCAGATAGATTTTGTCTAAATTTTACCCCAATAATTCTTTAGTTTGCAATTTGGGACAAGTTACTCAAACTATGATTCTCATTTTCCTCACTTCTAAGATATAAAAAAATGTCTATTTCCTAGGACTGCTATAAGGGTTACATGATAATTTGCATGTGAGATATTTAGTATGGTTTTTTGGTAAATATTAGATTATTATTCTACTAGGCCATACACCTGTCAGGGCAGGGGATATGTTTCTCCTTCATTATTATGGCTCACATATATATTAGCCATATATATGGCCCATTCATTCTTTCATTATGTAT